GTAATGCACTTATAAGTCTGTGATCCGCCGTAAAGCAAGAAGAAGAAGACGACGCCTCGCGCGCCTGCTGTTGAGAACGCGCTCAGGAGGACCCGCTCAGGACAGTTCGAACAGTTCGCACATTGCGTGAATCAGAGGTAAAAAACTATATAAATGCTGTTCAGTTTCTTGCACAGACCGATCGTTTTGTCTTTACACATCAACGTATCGCCACGAGCGGCAGGGTTTAATTTGGTTTTGTTTGTTTTAGCCATTATTCCCATTCACCTCCTTTATAAGACTGACAGACTGCTCCGGAGCGGTATTCAAGGGTTAGTGTATCCCATCATGCATCATGTTCTGGAAATAAATCGTGCGACTTTTTGCCAAGATCGCGCGAGAGGTCACGGAAACCTTTCCAATGTAAGTTAAATATTATTAATAATAAGATATTACATATAATTTGGTAGTAAAACAAAGTGCTACACATTTTATTGCTACAAAGATTAGTATATTTAATTTTGTACAACATTTGCAACTGCTTTTTATCACTTAATTTAATTGTGTTATCTATAGGGACTACTGAACAGACATTTAGAAGTTGATTTTAAAATGCAAAGTTTTGAAAATAATAATACAACTCTGTAAACACTTTGCGTTTTTACAACACTATAAGTGTGTCCCATCAGGTAATGAAAAGTTGTACACACTTGTGGTCTTCATGCTCACTTGAACACTTGGGCCAAATACAGGAAGTACATCATATAAGTAGTCAAGTGGTCAAGTGCAAAGACCACAAGTGTGTGTATTTGGACAAGGCATGACGCCCGATGCTGTTAGTGCGCTTGAAACACTGATCGGCCAATCACATTTGAGGAGGAGAAAAGTTGACCGAATAAAATCTATTGAATTGAATCTATATAATATCATTGGCAACATTTATGACCACAACGTACTTTTGAGTTTTCATAAAAAATAATGTATTCTACACAAGCTGCCTAATACATTAAAATGCAGACTGTACTGATTTAAATTAATCATTTGTTTACATGGTTGGAGAAAATAGTCAAATGACCAGACCTGTTCAATTCCAGTTTGCGTTTTTGAAAGATGTCAATGTCAAAGCTCCTTAAAAGAAAGTATGTTAAACATGCCATAATATACACAGATACAACCATTACCATATTTGGGTCATGTAACATTTGCAAGATCTATAGTTAATATATTGTTAAGATAGCTCTGTCTCACACAAATCATTACATAAGTAAACATGACAGCAGCCACAGAGGAAAACTGTAGATTTCCAAGTATGATACATGAAAAAAAAAAGTTTGAGGAACTATACATTTATCATTCCCTTTTCCCAACAATTGCCTCATAGTAAAATAACAAACAAACAAAAAAAAAAACTTTCTAAAGTGTTAAGCAATTCTGACTGTAATAAAATGCATGTCTCACTACCTTTTTATTATTTCTTTAAACAAAGCATGCAGTTTCATTGGGCATTCAAAGAGTAGATGGGACCACTTGGCTGGGCCTGGTTTAACCAATCGATTAAAGCTACAGTATTAAATCCGTTTTATAATCGCCAAACGCAATAAACATTGTAAATGAATCTGCACAGTGAAGCATTTGCGCCATCTGCAGGCCATCAAGTGGCACTACACATTATACTGCAGTGTGCGGTCGCAATGAGACACATTTTCGAAGTCCCCTTGCTACTTACTATATATACAACGGGACATTGTAATCTCTATGCAAAATGCTTTTTGTATTGCAGCTACAACTACGAAAATCCACAATAAAATTACAACAGTGTATTTTAAAAATTATTTTATTTTTTAATAGTGGCATACTGGAAATTGTGTTGAAAAGGGAACAAACTCTGCCACATGTGAATAGCTAATGACCAGTCAAAGCTGTGTTATATTGTCTAAAGAAAAAAAAAAAGTATTCTGGTGTGCCATAATAAATCGTCTATTAGTACAAAAATACATTTCAGGACACACAATATAGCATTCAGTATCACAAATAAATGCGTGAGACATTTCGAGCACACCGTTTAGAAGAAACAGGTTTTGAGAATAGTTTACATCAAGCACTTTCCTTTGTAAATAAAGAATAAAAAGATGGTTATCATTAAAAACGCTTATATTTAGTGTGTATCTGTAGAAAAGGTGATATTATTACTAAGTACACGTTCCGAGGCTCAGGGGAAGATCCAGAATACAAAGACAACCGTTTCCATTTCATTCATCCTCTTTTATAAACGTTTCCCCCCTCAAGTTTTATACAAAATAAAGACATACAAAAAAAG